AGACATTTGTGTAACATGGCTGAAATCGATCATGCAGTGGTAAGAAAAACTGTGATCCTGTCAACAGCATCGTGTCCGAAAGGACAGGAACCCTATATATATATAAGCAAATGATACGCAATATAAACACAGTTTAAACAATAAGTTAATAATCGCTATGGTACATTACTGCCATATAAACATTAAATTACATTCATGGTCTGCTTGTAGCAGATTATGCGGCTCCGTATAAACCACAGACTACATTAAAATGATTGGGTGTGAACAGTTATACAGCCGTTGTTATTTTCTAGGTAGTCAAATAACCTTAAAAACTACTATACAAAATGCGCATTGATGCATTTAGGAATACTGCTCAGGCTATATTACAATAATTGTAGCCACTTTTTGCTCTAGGCTAGCGGAACAATAATAACTTATAATAAATAAGAACAAATGGGCGATCCCGATTATGAACCACTACCATTTCATGATAGTTAGTTAAATGTAAAATGCACATAACTAGTTTGGTTTGAATTTCGCGCAAAGCTATACGAGGGCTATCTGCTCTAGCTTTCTCTTATTTTGAAGTGATGGACTAGAGGAAATGCAGCTAGTCAACATCACCCACCACCAACTCTTGGGCTATTCTTTACCAACGAATAGTGGGATTGACTGTGACATTATAACGCTTCCACAGCTGAAAGGGTGATCATGTTCGGGGACGAGATTCGAACCCGCTACTCTCAGTTTACGAGTTGAGTGCTCTAACCACCAGGCCGTGCTAGGCCTAAACTGTAGATAAAACTGAATAGTGATACTAAACCAGAACAAAATATAGATGGTTATAGGTTATAATGTTACCGTAGAAACATGGTTCGAGGATTTAAGAGTTAAAGTAAACGTGAAAGTGATCAGAGAATAAAATCTGGACTCAAAGAAGAATGGGTTAAGAATTTTTTCTTTGGAAAAGATCGGCAATAAAAGAATATGATTCAGAGTGTTAAGTTGTTTTCAGTTAGTGTAAAGAAAACAAGGGTTAGTAGACTCCTCAACAATAGGAACATTCTGTATAAAATGACCAAGCTAGCAAGGGTTAGTAGACTCCTCAACAATAGGTACATTTTGTATAAAATGACCAAGCTACCACGAGTTAGTAGACTTCTCAACAGTAGGAACATTATGTATAAAATGACCAAGCTACCACGAGTTAGTAGACTTCTCAACAGTAGGAACATTATGTATAAAATGACCAAGCTAGCCAGGGTTAGTAGACTCCTCAACAATAGGTACATTTTTTATAAAATGACCAAGCTACCACGAGTTAGTAGACTTCTCAACAGTAGGAACATTATGTATAAAATGACCAAGCTAGCCAGGGTTAGTAGACTCCTCAACAGGAGGAACATTATGTATAAAATGACCAAGCTAGCAAGGGTTAGTATACTCCTCAAAGGTAGGAACATTATGTATAAAATGACCAAGCTAGCAAGGCTTAGTAGACTACTCAACGGTAGGAACATTATGTATAAAATGACCAAGCTAGCAAGTCTAGCTACTGTAGACTCCTCAACAGTAGGAACATTATGTATAAAATGACCAAGCTAGCAAGGGTTAGTAGACTCCTCAACAGTAGGAACATTATGTATAATTATGTACAGTGCAGGGGTAATATGAAATCAAGTTTAGGCTACCGCCGGGGGTAATATGAAATCGATATCAGATTACCGGGAGGTAATTTGAAAGGGGGGGGATGTAGCTTGAAGTCTTCACACCGGAAATAAGTGTGTCTAAGGTTGTGTGTAGCTGATGTCAGCTCCAGGAAAACTTTATTTTACCAAAGTTTCAGCTTACGTCTTATTCGGAGTATGGAGTTTTACAATAAGACAACTAAGAGCTGTTAGTGCTATTTGTGTTACTGTAAAACTCTCTATTCAGAAGAAGACTTAAGCCGATACGTTGATGAATTAAACCGATCCTTTTTAAATGATTACTCTAAATGACACGAGAAAACTTCTGATCAAAGCAAGCTACCTACACAGATCAGAACTGC